AAATCAAAATTAAGCACCCTTACTAATTTTATCCATCACGTGATTGCAAAAAGGGGGTGCTTAAATTTGAGATTTTATGGTAGTTATAACTAAAGTTTAGTATATGTAATATTGTGAAATTTATAATAAAATTGCTATATAGTGATAAATTTTATTATAAATAGTTTTAGTTTAAAAATAAAATTTATTATAGACTAAAATTAGTTTATTACAGATCACTATATTAAGTTTTGACTGTATATTTTTATTAATTTACTAAAAAATTAGTTTTAAAATTAGGATTAGATCAGAATTAAAATAAAATTAGCTTATCTTTTTTATTGTATTGAATCAGGATTAGAAAGAATAAGATTAGTTTATTATTTTTTTTGCATTAAATTAAGGTCAGAATAGGGTTAAAGTTAGGAAAAAATTTAATTTACCTTTTTGGAAAGTTAAGTAACATTACATAATTTCAAAAAAATAATTTTAATTTTGGTAAAAATTTAAATAGAGTTATACAAATATTCAAAAAAGGAAATTTGTAATATTGGTAATAATTATTACTAGTAATTAATAATAAAGTTCTTAAGATTATTTAACTTATTAAACTATTAAAATATTTGAATATAAAGTATATTATAAATAAATAGATAAAATAATAAATTAAAAATTAAATAAAAATATTCAATAGATATTTTATAAAAATTTTATAAGTAATTAAGCAATTTATAAATAATAAATAATATTAATAGACTATTAAAATACAAATTCTATTGAAGGTTTAATATTTGGTTAAATACTATTTATATTGATTATTATTTGAATTTATCAAGGCATACTTTTGACTAAATTTTTGATTTTTCAGAAGTAATTAATTTTCAAGCATTTTATACTTGTTATTTAAGTGAAAAAGTGTTACAGTTTACCCTTTCTATACTGAATTTTTTTATAGTGAAGAACTTACTATAATGAAGAAAAGTTCAGATACAAATTATTTTATAATTAATAATACTTAATATAACGAATTTTATTGTAAATATTTTGTAACTCGTAACTCAAATTTGCATGTTAGAATAAGTATAATAAAATGACCTTTAATATAGTGAAGATTTTTGCTATACTGAATTTTTAAAATGTCACACAATTAATTAACGAATTTTGATCATGTGAAATTAATAAAGTCAATTTGAACTTGCTTTTAGAAGTTAGAATTTCGATCAATTCTTTTTTTCACACGCCATTATGCCTAAAACTAACAATACACGAAGTAAAAATTCCCAAGCAAAAGATACTTTACCAAAAAGAATATCTTTAACTCTTGCTCAAAAATATGAAATATGTCTTAGAAAAGTTACTGAGCCTTCTATAAAAAATAAAGAACTAGCAGTAATATATAATGTTAGTGAAGAATGTATTAGTGATACATTAAAAAAATCACAAAAATGGCTTGAAATTAATTCCTAAGCACCCGAAGCTCAAGGTAAAAGACAGATCAAGGTAAATTTTCCAGAAATTGAAGAAGCTCTTACATTATGGGTATTAAAGGCTTTAGAACATGGTGTTGATATCAGTGATCAAATTTTACATGAAAAAGCCATGGCATTTGCTTCTCTATATAAAATTGAAAATTTT